TGTGGATGACTTTGGTTATGCGTAAATGAATGGAGATCATCAAAGCATTGCAAACCTGGAGACAGACTGGGGATAGGGAATAACTCCAAGCAGGATTCAAGCAAATCTACATTTTTTGTCACCGCTTATGTAAATCTTGTCATCGAAAGAGCAGCTTTGAACATAACAGAGACCTTTTTATGTCACTTAAGAGTTACGCAGGTATGGCTCAGGTTTTCAAGATGATATGTCACAAGAAACAGCTTCACGTTTTATGGCTGCTTAAATGTGTTTATTTTGAGTTGTTTTTGTATTGATATTTTGGTGTGTACCCAACCATCCATATGAATATACGTGGTAATTAAGCTTATAGATAGTGGTCGTTTTTATACCAACATGCCTATAAACTGCTTGTTATTTTCTATGTGAAAATGCATGGACACAAACAAGGCCGGAAAAGCACTCTTCTGCTCTCCGACAAAAACACTCGGTGCAATGATTACCTGCCTTGCCACTCAGGGGCCATTTGCTGTTACCACAAAGCTGATTATCTCACCCCTACAGCAGGCTGGGTTTGCGGCTTTGCGATTTTCTCCCAAATGCCCACACTGCTATTTGTAGAAATGTTACCTAGCTGGCACAAGCTGAAATATGTTTGTGTTTGTGTGGATGTTTGCGTCTGGGTGAGTGTTTGCGGCGGTGCCTGGCTGGCTGTGTGTGTGTGTGTGTGTTTGACAGGTGGGTGGGTGTGTGTGTAGAATGGAATAGCTGTAAGAATGGAGAGATGGATGACACAAACAGGGCAGAGTGGTGGGAGGCTGGTGTCAGGGCCCTACTCCTACTACCAGGCTGGATGCAGTATCTGACAGCTGACTGAGAGTCTGTAGGCCCCCTCTTTACACAGTCCCTCCAAAAGGTCAGCACTTCAATCAGCTCCTCTCTCTGGATGCCTCCCTCACTCCCTTGCTGCTGCAAAGCCTCAATTTGGCCTCTTGATGCACATTAGCCGTGCTTGACCGTATCCAGCAGGTGGAAATGTAGTTTTCACACACAGGAATGCAGCCTCAAAATGAGTTTATATATCTGCAGTATGTAACATCTGCAGTATATTAAAGTTCCAAGGCAGAAGATTATGCGTGCTGTATGATATGTGTAATTTTGGTGCACTTTGGTGTGTGGAAAATTGCCACCCCCAAAGTCATAACTGGCTCATTGCTCAAAGCATTAAAATGTTCCAGATCTTTAATTTCCTCTTAGTTCCGTCTCTGGTCTCTAATTTACTTTCACACATCAGGCGCTCAATATCCTGTAGCCGACCACCTGCCACAGGGATTTCTTTTTTTTTTCAAACGTACAAAAATGGAAATTCAAATAATATTTACCGTGATGAGACTAGGCAGGCCTCTCATACAGCACTGACAAAACTGGACCAACAGGCGGCGGTGGTGGCGAAGTCGATAGGGACTTGGCTTGGCAACTGGAAGGTCACCAGTTCGAGTACCGGCAAGACCAAGTACTACCGAGGTGTCCCTGAGCAAGGCACCGTTCCCTACACTGCTCCCCGGGCGGCGTCCACGGCAGCACACTGCTCCTAACACTAGGATGGGTCAAATGCAGAGGAACAATTTCGTTACATATTACCTGTACTGTGAAATGACAATAAGAGAAGAAAAAAAAAGAAAGAAAAAGAAATGTTTCGGCGCATTGAAAGCATTTGTTGTTTAATTCAAAATTAAATATGACATTTCCTCCTGGAAATTAGTCATCAAAAGAGTGATCTCATACCTTTTATTTTTAATCGAAGGTATCTTGATGTTCTTCGATGAGTCACAGCACCTGTTTAAAAATCAGATCCCTCTCACAATGCATCATCTGTCACACCCCCGTTTTATGCATAACTCCCTTATTATTCACCTATTACACCGTTTAATTTTTTCATAATTGTTCCTGATAAATGAACAGGTTTCCCAATGCCTGAACAGTCATTAACATGAGGAGTGAAATGTCAATGGGGGGTGCATGTGAAGTGTGTCCCATGATTTAATAAGGCTAACGAGCATTGAGGAGATGAAGAGGATTTTGTTTTGAGTATCTACTGAGAGACTCTCATCTGTGTTTCAAAGTCTGATGAGGTGAAAGTCACTACATATCCCAATCCACACAAATGCAATGACATCAGGACGTTCATACAGCATACAGGAAAATGTGACACGTTTTTTTACAGCCAATGTGTCTGTTTCATGTTGGAGCCTCCGCCATTCCCTAAAGAAATTCTTTCCATTGGCTTTATGACTCATTTTATTGCCCACCACTTGACTGTGAGCTCTTACCATTACAGCGACAGATGCCAGACCACGCTCAAATCAATTTCCACCACCTCATTGGTCTCATCTTTTGTCCTTTTTTGTTATACACTACTTTGGTTTTGCCATAATCATCAACACATATATTTGTATTATATTTAGTCTATAAGAAATGCTAGTATTAGTATTGTTACATTCTCTCAATGGCATGATGAATCACAGCTGGTTTAGCATGGTTTCTCAGAAAATATTTGCTAATAGGCTCTGAACACAAAGTACTGCTGAGGCTGTTTGAAAATATCATTATTTTGTTTACGTGTTTGGTCATAAACCACATCATTTTAAAGATATGAATTGCCATTCATTGTTCTTTCAAGCAAAAGTTTAATATAACCAGAAATCCAAAACTCACACAATTAAAAGATGAAACCATGAAGACGGCAAATGCTCATGCTTTTTTGATAAATACTTTGAATGGTAAATACAATATCATTATAGTCGATGACTCATTTATTGTAGATCGATGAGCTGTTTCGACCAGACATTTTTTAGGATTAAACGGCTGCCGATGACACTAGAGGCATTTATGGTCGTGATCACGTTTCAAGAATACTCTACTATCATTTGAGAGCTGACATCATCCTAAATGATGATGATTCACATGGGCTGGTTGTTATTCCTGCCACGGTGGACTCGGTAAATATAGCCTGATGAAACTCACACAAAGCTGGGAGCCGCTTTGTGTTAGAGTACTACTCAAAGATGATACCATGCATTGTCATAGCATGCATCATGTTGTTCACTCCCGGGCGCAGACGGTGAAATCTTTTAATTGCAGTACACGGGCATCCATGGGAGATAGACAGCAACTTATTATCTCAGGCCTCATCAGCCCTGATACACGATCGAGTGGCTCTTGAGTAAGGGCTCTCACTGAACACACATTGTCCTTTATCAACGTACAGCACTCTATCGCTTCTATATCAATGGGCAGCACTTTGACACTCAGGTCAGAAAGTTGGATTATGAGACATTAGCTTCATTAGGATATGTGGCTGAGGCAGTTATTGATGGAAACTGCTGTACACTGAAAAAGAAGATAGTGATTCACCTCTGACTCATTTCTCGTCACCAAAAATGTCTGGCATGACAGTGTAAAACCACCAACATTTTTAATCTGAATGAGCTACTGCCCAAACAGACTTGTTCCTTATATCTTCTTTTCTAATATTGTGGGAATGTCCTGCACTGTTTTTTAGATACATAACTGAATACAAGCCGATAGAACAGACGTTGTGCATGGACAGTACAAGGTCATTTTCTGCTTTGCCTTTCGACGAGATTTGCCTTAAAAATGTGGTGTAGAAAAAGAGAATGGTATATAGACTACATCTTGGTTTCAACATCCCCTATCTTAAATCTGGATTAAAGAAGTGGTGGTTTTGACAGGGCCGTTTCATCTCGTCTGTCTGAAGTGTTACTCGCATGTCTCCAGGCACCGAGGGCTGACTGATGAGTGCGTGTGTGTTGTTTATGAGTGTGTGAGCGTGCAGCTGGGACGAGAAGGGTTTGATGAAAGAGACAGACCGGTTGGAAATGAGAACAGAGAGCAGGATGTGTGAGAGGCGATGAGAAGTAGTTTTTTTATTAATGAATGCTGACCTAAATCACAGACTGCAAGTCTACTCAGCACATGCCTGATCAATGGAAAGAGATTTCAACAGTTATAAAACATGCCTTTATTTGTCTTCACTTATTACTGGAGTTTCCTCCCTGGAAAAACTATTAATTGTTTTGGAAGAGATGCCAGACCTTAATGCAGCCTTATAAAATAAAAGCAGCAGTCATGAGAGCATTTCTGTGTAAACACTTATACTTCCACTGTAATCACACTTGGTTATGGCCCTCAAGGGTTTTGACATTCAAAATAAACCGATTGCGGCCTCAACCCTAAAAGACTCATGTTGGCACGTGAATGAGGTCAGTGCCTCCTGGAGTGAGCCCAAGCTGAAACCTGTGGTTATGAAACAAGAGAAAGGCCGCGCTTTCCGCAGGATGGGCAGCGAATGACTTTCCTGGCTTTGTCACAGAAGCCTGAGGTCATAACTCACAACAAACAAGCACTGCCAACACATTTAAATCAACGCACGGACTGAGGGTTCCAAATAACTCCCACCCCACAAGAGGGCTCTCAACAGTAAAAGTGACTAAGCCTTTACCAGATTAGAGCAGATGCAAAGAAATACATTTAAAAAAAAAGAAGCCTTGAAGGAAAGTCACAAGCAGCAGTAGTTATATGACAAATAAAATGACCTTCCCGGAAACTGGGGCTGGACTAGAAGTAGAACAAATTAATCATATTATCTGAAATGTTCTGGTTCAGACATAGTGCTGATATCTGCTGCCCCCAAGTGGCTGAAACATTCACTACATATCCGACAAAACGCCACAGAAGTATGAATTTGAATAACCTTTTCCACACGACATGTCAAGTCTGCTTAATGAGAAAAGTTAAAAAAAGGGAAAAGCCTTCCAAAAAAAGTGTTACTTCCATAAGTCCTGTTAATTAGCTTTTGTGCACCACAGGTCTGTTCTGAATTACACAAGTCTCTGAGATTCCATTAGACTCTTGTCTTTGTGCATCAAACATACTACATGTGATCATCATTAAGAAGCAGGAGAGAGCCACACGTAAAGAAATCTCCACACTCTGCCAGCTGGTATTTCCAAATAAATTTATTTTGTAATTTTATCCACTGTACAAAGCAAGCATGGAATCTTCTGGACACTGGCGTGACAAAACAGATGGACCTTTATTTCCATCAAAGAAAAAGAAAAGATTACCTATAGAGAGGGGAGAAAGAAACACAGTGACTGAGTTTAAAAATGACTACATCTCTTGTCAGTATTTACATTTTCTATACTATTAACAACTGTGCATCTGTGCATAATGTTCCTGTTGTATTCAAATATTGAACAGATCATGGTGCAGCAGCTGAGATGTCTCACCACAGATCTATGCGAGAGCCTTGACGATGGCCTCATGTGCCTCTAGGTTGATCTGAGCCGCTGCCCTGACTGCCTCGTCAGAAATGCCGGACATTTCAGACTGAGCCTGCTCCAGGTTGGCCTTGGCAGCCTAAAAATAGACAGAAGAGCATTTTTAACAACGAGAAACAGAACAGAAAAGGAAATTATAAAATACACATTTATTATCTTTGTCTTAAATAGCGTCAAGCAGGCACTCATGGGCAGCTAAACAACCTGCAAAGCTTTACTCTTTCAAAAAGCTTTTCGGGGGCTAACTGTCATGTTAAAGTTCAGGGAGGCAAGGCTGAGCAACGACGAATCAAAACTGCAGACAGGCAGAGAATATCCCCACTGCCTCTTTGCTCTGAAAGCTCCATTTGTCACAGTAGTGATTAGACACGAGAAATGCCAAACATAGCTGGAAGTTAAAGGTCTCCCAGTAGGGATTTGACACATCTGCTATAACTCAGCAGTGACTGACCTTTCCCTCCTTATTAACAGCGTGGGCCTATGTGCATTTCGACTTCAGAGTGGAGGACATTTAGGAAAAAATAACTAATTTACTGCGATGAAGTCAACTTGACAGTGACACTGGCACTGCCCAAGGTCACAGAGGCACCTCTGAGGCTAGAGCATAATAACGCAGCCTAGCATTAACAAGATTGACATTTAAACAACGACTCAACATTGAACTGCAACGCTGATCAGATGGATAATCATCAGCTTGGAGAAGCTCATCAGCATAGAGGATCAAAATGAGGAAAATCTATTATGGGATCAAAGAATAGTCTCTTCTGTCAAAGACCATCTCTCTGCAGGGACTCTAACCAGGTTGGACAATCACTAACTATGGATCACTCAACACATTGGATATATACACCAATCACACAAATCTCATCAGTATAGAAGATTCATAAAGAAGGCACACTGGACCAATGTTGTGAAGACACCATTTTGTTAACACTTAGCGATCCCTGCTAGATGTTCTGAGTGAAAGTACAGGAAGACAGCTTTAATAACTTCACATGTTCCAAATGCGACAAAGCAGATGTCTCTTTTGGAAATAACACCCAAAAATCGGACCAAATGTCTTCATATGTTTTATGAACACATTGAGTGGTACAGTTTATTCTTTTCTCTCTCTCTCTCTCTCTTTCTTTTTGACGGATTTAAAAAGCCCCACTAAGGTCTTTTTATGTTCTAATTTTCAATAAAATATGTACTTTTTTTAAGAGGTTTTCTGATGTTCTATGAAAAGGTGCCAGACACAAAAGAAAAAGGTACCAACCTAATAATATCAAGAAAGAAACTCATTATTTTGCCTTGCCCACTTCACGGTGAAATCAAATCTGAGAGCTAATTGCAGAACAAAAGAGCTGATTAAAAACAATCAAGGACACCACAGGTACAAAGATAATTGCTGCTCTGTCTCCGCTGGTTTTGTAAAGCAAAAGTTACGAGAGAAAAGGCAATTCAAAATATTTCTTTAAACAGAACATGGAAAAATGGACGGCCTGGATCTAACCACAATGTATTAAATGGTTTATACATTTAAAAACAACAGGCCAAAGGAAATAAGTTCAATTGGTTTCCCAAAAAAAGGGTTCAACAATTACATATTGTACTGGCAATAATGCTAGAAAAGTGAACACCCTGTTAAGGTTTAAATAAATGACTACCAAAGACCGGTCTTGCTTTTTATGAAGGCTTCCTTGTGATATTCTGAATCAGTCCTCAAATGCAAATGCTGTGTTCATACTCTATAAATGATACAAATATAGATCTTAGCAATTATGGCTACCTCCTTAAAAAAAGGTATTAGAATATTATAACTCATTACACAGTTTATACTATGATCAATACCGATATTAAGACTTTCATTGTGTATGAAAAACATTGCAAAATACCATATTGGATAATATGTCATGTCATAGACATTAGACTGCCTTTGAACATGTGATTTCCCCCCAGGTTAACCATGTTGACATTTCATCAGGACAATATCTGCAAACCCTTCACTACGTGGTTATTTATTTTTCGAAAAATAAGCTCATCACAGCTGAATAAATGAAGGTTGCAAAGATATGAAAAACATTTATTAGAATATGTAGAATTTAAGATTAGGATTTTTATAATTAAATAGATTTCAATATAGTACAAAACTAGAATTTAAAATTGAAAAGTGTTGGTAGTTTAAATATGTTTTGGCTAATGAACTGAATAAAATCCTTTAGTATAAACATATGGTTAAATATGCTCAAGAAGTTCTATTTATCATATGGTCATACTGCCAGTTGCTGCTCTAGTATACATGCGAGTAAAGTGGGGTTGGAATTATACTCACATCAATGTCCAGATCGTCCAAAGTAGCAGCCTCCTCCACAAGCAGTTGCACTGAAGAATCAGCGTTGACTGTTATTGACCCACTGCTCACTGAGAACACACACACACACACACACCAGTGTTACTACACATGCCAACATACAGTCATCTTCAGTGTTTTTAAAGCCAATCCTGCCTAATTCTCCAGCTTGCTTCAGTTCCACATTGTATTTTCTCCTCAAGGGTTTCTTTAATCTAACCTTTGACGCATATAAAATGGAAGAACCCAAGATTTTAATAAAGATACATTTTATTTTTTTGTTAGCATTTCCTAAAAACAGCATCCATGAGTCTGAAACACAGAAACACTGTCATATCCAGGTGAATCGGAAGAGTTATTTACCATCAGAATCAGCTGAAAGTAACTTAGCTTTGCATACAGTGAAGACCACTTATGTTTCCACTTTTCAGAGAGATAATTAATAAAGATTTGTATTTCTAAATGTGTGGTCTAGTCTGATAGTTGTGGGGTTTGGTGTTCAAGTAGTAGTACACAAGCTTCTCTTGAGTATGACTGACATTCAGACCTTTAATGACTTAAACAATTAAAAAACTAGTGCCAAGAGTCATAGAGGTAAACATAATCATGCGTACATACATCTACTACTGTAAGCATCCAATAGATATTTATTCTTGCGTTTACTTTTTGGTTAAGTGTAAAAAACAAAGCATCGTTGCTTGCTGTTTTCCTACACATAGAGGTCAGTGTTTAGAGACATATAGAAATGTTACCAGCAGGAGATGAGAAATTAGGTTAAGGCCTGACTCTACTCTTTGTGTGCTGGAAAGTAAAATCTTACCGAAGTATTTGGTAGCAGAGCCGTCATCATTGAAGATTGTGACGACGCCGGGCCGGAGCACCTGCAGGGTGGGTACATGGGCAGGAAGGATACCGAACATACCGTTGAGTGTGGGTACGTCAACCTGTTTCACACTGGCTTCTTTGAAAAACACCTGTAGAGTGGAGACAGAGGATGAGACATTAATTCATTTATAGAGTTCACTGCAACGGTTGAAATCAGTGTCTGATCAAATATGCAGCTGTCAGACTGGAAACTGCAGAATTAGAAATGGAACTGAGCATATCAATAGCCATTGTAATACGATACATCCATAGTCATTAATCTCTCTGTTTACTTTTAATGCAACATGATGATGCATACATTTTGAATGATAATAAACGTTAGTTTTGGATTGGACTGAATGAATTAGACCCGCAGCAGAATGAAAGCTAGACATGCAACCATGTGTAAAACTGCAGGAACAGTGGATTGAATTCAGAAATGTGAAATGCATCTCAAGGTTAGACAGCATTTACCTCTCTTGCTGAGTGGCGGTTTCACAATGGATGTCATATAAAGTTAAGACAATAAAGTGACAAACATAAAGACATATATCCCCTGTTAGCTTATAGAAACGCGTGGTATTCTTTTCGCAAAGTAGAACGTTACTTTGTCACACTGCTGGTCAAAGACAGTGAATGACAGCTATGTATGCTATCATTAGCGAGCTATGCTAAATCCTCTACCAACAGTGCACGCTCCTGTTGTCTGCATGCATGCCACACGAAGTACACCATGCATACTAACAATGATTACAACCCTACACATTAGTACACCACTGCCTATTCACTGAGAGGCACACGTTACTGTGGAGCAATTCAACGTGAAACTAAGTTAGCTGTGTAGCTAGCAGGGCCTGTGGAACCTCGCTGTTACCTTTGTCGGGGAGGCGAAAGTGAAGGACATCTGCGGGCCAGTGGAAACCACATCGGCGTAGGAGCGAGCCTGCCTCACTACGGGGAGAGCCCGGCGGAAAATTCGTGCTGCCATCATGTCTGAAAACGGGATTTTAATCAAGTTCAACTGAATGACAGAGATCCTCTTGCGTGAAGCCAGTCGGTGTGAGCTTGGTACGACAAGGACGTTCGTAACCTACCCATAAGGCTTTGCGGTGTGCGCAAAGGATGCAGGGTAGTGAAGTCTTTGAAAGGTCAGGCTGAGGTTAGTTATTTTGGATGAGTTTGTGAGTTTAGCAATAGTATGAAGCTACTCGAGTTTAGACGGCCATTTATGATATGGTTAGCAGCATATTAAAAACAAGTAAGTACTGTTTTATTCTCTAGATAAACTAGGCTTCAGGAACTGCAAAGAGTAGCAAAAACACAAAACAGTTTCGGTTTCAATCATTTCTTGGTTTACATCGAAAGCAAGAAACCAAAATTTGGGGAAGATCGTCGTCTGTAAACATTGGGAAGGGTAATGTATTTGGCCAAACTAATCTTACCACATTCACTGTTTCTTCGTTTAATAAGCTAGGGCACACTTTACACCAGGAGATGGCGCTAAACCCACGTGTTATTATAGAAGATAGGCAACAGATAGTGATCTAATACTTTGATATTGGACCAAGTTATTGTTGCTCTTTTGTATGCCACTGCATGGACGAGAGAAAACTTGTATGGCGTTAAAAAATAAATAAAATAAACCTACATACAGATAGACACTGTATGAACTGCTTTATTATGTTTCCCACTTCTGCAAGAGTGACTGTAAAATACACAAATAATATAGTATTGTAATCATAGTTTACATTCCTGAGACACCCTTACGCCCCTGAACCAGCCACCCTGTCTGTGTATGACTGACTGAGCATGAGGCTAATTTGGAGAAGCCCTTCATCACTCAGCTCTACCTCTCCTTGCGTCACGTGGTGCTCCTCTGACTGGGTGGTGGGTGTGTCTTAAGCAGTGGGGTTTCATTCATAAATACTTTTAGCTTTAAAATCCACATTAAAGTGTCCACAGAAGAGTTCCGCGTTATTGGCTTTGGCCCTCCACCCCTGTATGGACCCGGTCGGTTGTTTAGGTGAGTGCTTCCCCTGCTTCATGATGCCTGCTCGTGTGTGTGTTTGTGCAGCCAATTCAAACCGTGTGCTACCTCCTCTGTCGGTGTCACCGGACTGATGGAAATCATAGGCGCCTGTGAAATATCAAGATGGCATTTGTATTAACCTCACTGCGCAGCTGGGAGTGTAGGCTACCTGCTTTTCATCCGTTTTTAAACTTTACTATCGGCTCCATTTCATCTCGTAGTGTAATGAGATGTTGTCTTCTCGCAGTAGATTTTATCACCCAAACCTCCATGAGGAAACAGCTGCCAGAGGCGAAGCTCATTATTTGTTCCGGGAGGAAAACACATTGCAGTATCGACTACCGAGAAATAAGAAACGGCATGGTTTATTTGTGCAGCATTTCTCATTTTAAACAGGTTATTACAAGGTCTCAAATTAGCACTCATATTCTGTTCCAGGGGGTACTTTGGGTATGATGGGAGTGGGACGAAATATATAAGGCTACTCAAAGCGAAAACGATACCCAGTATAATACCAGTCATGCAGCTGGCATAGATATACGGAAATGTGAAGCATGAAGGGATATGCCATTGCTGGGACACCCGTGTTTTACCATCTGCTCAGCCAACCATCAATATAGAAATCTTCAGGGATTGCATGGAAGTAAGAAATGTTTAAAAAAAGTCAAGACTATATTTTCATACTTACACATTTCTTCCTATATTCCCTAAATCTTTACAACACTGAATAATGGTAAAAGACTGTTAGGCATCTCTAACTTGTTATCAGCTATATTATTGCATTATAATGATACAGTGAGGTATTTTTGGTTTTCCAAATGTTGAAGGAATTCTTCAAAGAAAAATGTTCTCTCTTGAATGAAAAACAGTATTTCCATGATCATCACTACTCAACTAGTAGCCTGTCAGAGATTTGTGTAGTGCATTTGTTGAATGCAAGCTCTTATGCAAACCTATCCACACAAACTGAATAATTAACCAATCGTTCTGCCGTATGTTTGTTATCAGCCATGAAGCTTTGCCGTCCTGTTGCTCCGGGGCCAGTGGGCCAGCCCTGAGGGGGATCACTGCTGCTCAGGCTCAGTCGTGCTGCTTGGGCTGAGGTGACTGAGGATGCAGCAAGGGAGCTGAGGAAGAGACTCCTGACACACACATCCAGAGCTGCTGCTGCGCACTGCCCTCCATCAGGGTAAGACGCTGGGCTGGTAAAAGAGCAGGATGTGGTACAGTACTGCAAGGGAAAGCATTCTGGTCACAGCCTGATGTGTTTCCAGTAACTGTTTTCATGCTTGGACGCTAGATGCAGGGAGTTAGACAGGCTTTCCACAAACAGCTCGGCAATAGCTTACAGGTTGTGGTGCTGAAGTTGAGTGCTGCAGTATCTGGCAGGCAAACAAGGAGCGCTGAGTGCTGCTGGCATGTATCTACTACCCTGCTGGGTGAGTAGATCTAACCAGGGTGTGTGTATGTGGGCGTTTGCTGCAGCAATAGCTGTATTAATGGCCATGATCTGTAAAAGCAAACGCATAGCAGCAGCAGCAGCAGCGCTAGTGGAACTGCTGGAGCTAGTGTTTAATAAGAGCTGCTGTTTCTCTCTGTTCTGTGTTTCTCTGTGTGTGTGGGAGGCAGATGGAGAGTCTTCAGGCTGATATGGAATTACATGGGTGATGATTTGCAGCTGAGATGAGACGATTTATATATATTCTGTGGGATTCAAAGCATGCGCACAAGCACACGCCGTACGTACGTACATACATACATACATTTTGTTTCTGATTCGTCTTGCAGTCTTTCATGGCTGTTAGATGCAACAGGATTTTTCTGCAGCAAAGAGCATCTTCAATCACTTCATACAGTGTGTTACCACACACCAGGCATCAATAATGGAAGGCATTCTTTATTCTATACATTCACAGAGGTTTGGCTTTATGTTGACATGTGAATGTGTGGATTTATTATCACAGATGAATCGCAGTGTCTCTGACTTTGTGTTTTGATAAACAGCTCCGGTAACAGTCATTTCCTCTGTGTGTTTGTGTGTGTGTGTGCATGTGTTATCTCTCAGGGGGACTCTCTAGTTGGCCTGGACCATGAGCAATGAGTCTACCTTCTGGAACATCCTACCAGAAAACTCCACAGTAAGTCTGCCTTTCGCCACTGGCTTATTCTCTAACTTCCTGTCTGTGTGTTTGTGTGTGTTGTGTCCAGCTCACCACCAGAATCATACTTTCCCCTCATATTCTCTTCTGGCCAATTGACTGGCTAATGGAGAACATCCTGACCTGGACCTGACATAATTAATAATTGAATTGAATTTCCCCTCGCAGACAAATTAAAATGTGACGTCAGAATGTAGAGATCATTAACACTTGCTGTACGTCCTCAGAATAACACTATAACATCTATGGGGTCGCTAAAGGGTCATCGTGATGATATTTAAAGACTGTTTTCTTGACATTACATTGTTTACTCCAATAAAAGGGCAAGGCCTGCTGTTGTTCTCTACCCTCCAACTCATGACATTACATGTCACTTGTAGATGCTTTTATCCAAAGCGACTTACATACTACATCAATACTGTGGGCAATCCCCACAGGAGCAATTTGGGGTGAAGTGTCTTGCCCAGGGACACAACGACATGCTGACTGCAGTGGGGTTTGAACCTGTGACCCCCTGGTCCGAACACCAATGTTCAACCCACTGCACCACACGCCTCATGACCAACTAAACCATTCAAATACCTGTTCTGTACATGTACATGGGCATCAAGGAACTTGGGAAAAACATTTTTATTTTTGAAATTAAATTACTAAGAATATTCAATGTTGAAATAAATACATCAAATGGGCAATTTATTAATAAACAAATAAACTCTGCATCATTTTGGACCACTAAGTAAAAATGTGTAATTAAAAATGTGGACCCTGCTAAATAAAATAATAAAAAAGATTACGGAGTTGACAGAGAGAAATGTATTGTGTGTAACTTTTCATTCATCATACATACAATTAATTTGACCTTTTATTTATCATTCACTGATTTATATCTTCATAAATCATGTTACCTTGGACTCAATGTTATGCACATGTACAGATGGAGGCACAATGCTACCTACCGAATGATATTGACCAAAATGTCCTTTTATAAAATCATATTTAGGTAGTGAAAATCATGGGTTTATCAGAACTGTCTTTCCATCTGCGTTTGTGTGAGCTGACATGATGGATTGTACAACGTTTTTCCCAATGAATAAAGAGGGAGGGCTTTCAACATATCCTCCTCTGTTGAAACGTGTTCATGCTTGAAAAACTATCTGTAAATCGTAACTATAGATACGATAGAGCCTCTACCGGTGCGCCCTGGGTGGTTAATTCACTAAGCTGCTGTCCTCCCTGGGAGGGCTTTGCCATAGCTCAGGTACACTGTAGACAGGTTAATAGCATTGGCCTTTAATGATTCATTTCACTGTTGCATTTATAGATTTACTTTATGCAGGCCAACCAGCCAGTGGTGCTAAATCAATCCTTTAAGCTGCACCGTGTTACTGGGAAGGTAAAACAGCTGCACAGTGATGTCGTTAAGTCTTGGCTGCACTTCCTATGTCGCGATAGGAATGGCATATTCAGAGCATGTTTATCTACTGTATTGTGTTGAAATGTTTTTTATTTTCTAAAAAGAGAGCAAGTTATATCTAGTACCCACATAGGAAATACACACAGTATGTTAAATGTAAAATGTTTTTGCTCCACTCTTTCCGTAAACCCTGTGTTGAGAGGCAGTCACATTTTTAGACTTTTTTTGGAAAATAATCCGTTTACAACTGAGAGTTGCTGCAGTGAGCATCAGCGAAAAGCTTCAGCAGGTAGAGTGCTTATGTGGGAAGTGTTTGGTTGTCCCTTTTGAACCAGCGCATTTAATGTACACATTCAGCTCAGGTCATCACCTACCTCTCTCTTTCACTGCCTACGACTGTAATGAGTCAAATATACCAGTTAGCAGGTCCGTCGGTACAGTACAATAAAGTAACATATATATATATATATAGACCTTTTCACTGCGGACTATTCATAATAGGAAAGGAATAGATGTTACTGTGGAAAAAAATGGAATGTCTTCCATTTTTGTAAAGCACTTTGAATTGCCTTGTGTTGAAAGGTGCTATATAAATAAACTTGCCTTGCCTTGCCTTGCCTTGCCTTACTAATAATCTAACTATCCATTTTGCCCTCCTCTGTATTTCAGGAGATCCCATTTGAGGCTGAGGAGCAGCAGGATGGCTACGTGCTCCTCCTGGTGATCCTGTCCATCCTCCTGGTAGGAACGTTGATCTTCATCTCTGTCCTCCTCATCACCTGCCGCAGAGGAGGCCAATTCTGTGCCAGGTACGATGCAAAAAAAACATCCATAACATTCAGGATTTCAGCACTTCACTTAACTAGAGTGACTTGTGAAGAGTTTATAGAAGTATAGGATCAAAACTAAGCAACAAACAGTGAAGACCTATGAGCAGTGGACTTATTAAACAAAAGCTTCTGCACATTCTAATACAAATAGCCACACCATTCCTGCTTTGCTTAACAAGGCTGCCTTTGTGGATGTACAGGTGGTGCTTTTTTACAGTGCTGCAAAAACACACAGTTGACCAACAGAGACTGCTCTTCCTGAGCTCATATGCATTTACTATTTATAGAGAGCATGGTACTTATGTTGAATGTGTTTACCTGCATAATAGATCAGGCTCATTCAGTTTAAAATGAAGCTAACTACTTCCTGTCCACTTTGCTCCATACGGTGAATCCCGAACACATCTTCAGGACGATTCCATTAACAGACAAAGCAGTGATCCATGAAACAGATTAAATCATCTCAAGCTGTTGCAGTAAGTGGTAGAGCAAATGATGCAACCCTATATAGTTAGAGATGCTGTTAGACCAGGACGACAGGCTGCATCTAGTGCATGAAGCAACTCAGCTGTTAGAGTGTCAGGACCCTCTGTGGGGCTGTTATAAAAACACCTTGCTGGAAATACATTCAATATTTATGCCCATCTATTTGTGA